ACCCTTTTAAGTGTAAACTTAATTTCAACATCTTAATATCATCTGTATGTGCTCTGTTTTTATATGGATTTATCAAATGGCCTGTCAGCCATGATAAAACCTCATGTGTTAGCTAAAAAAGCTGATCTTGATACGTTTTAACTATATTTGTTAAAGGTCAACATATCACTTGTTTAAACCATGTAAGTTTGAACTGGATCACAAAAACAGTGACAACATTAAAACAAAATTAAAGCTGGGCAAAAAACTACTTTGGTACCTCAAAAACAGTTTTTATTTTCAAATAAATCCTGGAGCAGTTTTTGAATCTGCTTACTTTTTCTTTACAAGGTGGGACATCTAACTGAGCATGTACAGTGTGAGTGTCATCACTCCAGCTTGTTTCCGTTTGGAGAAAAATGATGTGTTGCAACCGTCCCTTGTTACTACTGTCCCCGGTCTCCCCTACTAATAAAATAAGCTGACCTAAAAGGCAAAAKTGATGCTTCATTCCATGACTTTTGACAACTGGTTGCTTTAAATGTCAGTCCAAAGCATCTGTGGGATTGGCAGAACAAACAAGTCCATTCAGAACTTACAGTAAGGATTTACACATCTTTAACGCACGTAAAAAAGAAAGCAGACTCTCGGAGGTTGTGGGTTGCTCCCTATGTGAATAAGGGAGATCTTTCCAACGATTTAGGCTTTCCAGTAACCTGTCATCATGTGCCTTAGCCACACCTTAGCTTAGGTCATTTTTTTGTGGGTGTCCAATGAGTGCTTCTCTAAAAGAAAACTGAGGTTTATGTTTCTAGAAATTTTGACAAATGGTCACAGCAAATGTGTCTTTGGTGTTTCCAGTTAAGATAGACTTTTTCTGTTCAAAGCTATGGGAGAAGATTTCCACCAAACTGAGGCAACTGCGAGGAAGTGATCAATCCATTTTGGGCCAAGTTTTGTGTTTTCTTTTTCTTGTCTCGGCATAGTGTGCGTTTACCGATACATTTAATATGTATTTAAATGTTCTATGGTTTGCCATCCATTTAATATGTTTTGTTTTGTTAATAAATGTTTCTTTCTTGTATAAATGGAGACTTATCACTGTGTCATTTTCATCATATAAATGGAGGAAGAAACAGCAACATCAGCTTCAAGAATCAGCCCAAAAAGTCATCAGCACAATTAGACTGATGTCAAAATAACGTCATCGGCTACAGCACTAAAAAACCTGTATCAGTTGATCCCTAAGGGACACCTAAATAAAGTATACTTTAAAAAAAAACTACAATGTTTTTGATTTAGCAAGTATCACTTTTGCAGAGAATGTAAGAAAAAGAGAACACATTATTTTCATTGATTCTAAGAAAAAAAATGTTCAAAAAGGGGGAAAAAACTCAGTTCCATTCACTGGAGGATTTCCTACTCTGTTTATCCTTTATTTGAAATACTACATGAATATACATTACTTTGTCTACAACTTAAAAAAGCTCCTAAAGCCATTCATTTCACTTTTCACTGCCATTCTTTTTTAAATTTCTACTTGGCTATATTGCTCACCAATGCAATCTAACAAAAGTAAATACCAAAAATGAAAAAAAAAAAAAAAACAGACATGTTATGAGTATTTATTTTTTTCTGTACACAGTTATCTAAAAGTTTAACAATAGTGGCAACAAATGCAACATTAAACAAGTGCTCATTTTGGTGCTTAGAGTTAAAAATTGCTACATCGTTTTATTTTATTTTGGATATACATTTAGCAAAATTTATGAAGACAGAAATCCTCTGAACTCTGCAGAGTGCAGCTGGTCACTATCTGAGTTTATCAGTTTTACTATTAATATATATTAACAACAACTTAGTCACAATCATCCACCTTTGTGATGCATTTTTATATCTTTAACCAGATCTCATAAAAAGATGTTATTCACCCTTTACTCTGAAGAGAACAATTTAGTAAAACTAAAAAAAAAATGTTTTTCTTAGAAATAAAGCATCTCATCTTTGAGACACACCAAAAAAAAAAATCTTTTAAAAAACAATGTTTGACTTTTTCGTAACATAAACTATGTTTTTAATTTTTTAATCGTGAGTGATGAGATGATTTTTAATCAGGTACTTGTTTTGAGGTGTTCAGAGAACTGACCAGGTGTCAAGGACAAAAAAAAAAAAGTCAATATAACAACACAAAAAGTAAGTAAATTATTTTTTGGTAAATTATTTTGTTGTAACAATACTTCTTGGCAATAATTGTCATACTATTAGAAAGCCTATTATTTTAACCTTTAAATGGTGCCACATTTGTAGGGATCATGCATATGTGAGATGAGCACTAGAGCTGAGTATGTGGTTTGTACGGAGCCCGCAAGGGGACACGGGGGGATTTTTTCCTTTTGCATTCCCTCACAATACTTTTGCGTTACCTCGCAATATTGTTTTGCATTCCCGCGCAAAAGTTTGATTTGTATAGGAACTGCATTAAATCAGACTTTTATTTTGAAATATCCAGTTACCAAAACAGGATGTGTCACCACAAGTTCGTGAAATTGACATTGATGTTGCGTGGCTGCACTGTGTTAAAACATCGGCATGTGACATACTTCCATGCGTGGTTGTGTGATATATTCTTTCTGAAGCTGAATTAAAGCAGTAGGCTAACTCGCTAATGGTGAGTAGGTGAATTTGTTAATAAATCGGCAGGCACAACAGTGTTTAATGAATTTCGCGAGGGAACGGAAAAGGTATTGCGAGGTAACGCAATGCATTTGTGTGGGAAAGCAAAAAGAAAAAAAATCCCCCCCAATGTCCGGTAGGGGGCTCCGTAGGTTTGCACTTATGAAAACGTGTGAAAATAATCTACCAAACACTAATTTCCTTACTTTTGTGCTAATTACACTTTTTTTTCAAAATGCAAACAACACTTTAAAATAGTTTGAAACTACACTGCATGTATTTGATGTTTARTATGAAAAAATAAGCATAGATCACAGTGACGGAGCTGAAATACCTGATGGTGCTTTAGGTATACGGAACAGCATAGCTGTTTCATGATTTGTGTCCTGACAGCTTTTTGACCTCACTCTGACCTTTTCCACTTTCCAAATGAACGTAATAATATTAAAGAAGAAAACCTTTTTTATTTTTTTCAAATTTTCATAAACAATATAATCCATTTTAAAGCACATATTGGGCAGTTCCTTCTGTCCAGCGAGGATGAAGTGAAATGTGGGACCTCTCATAAGGGGCAACCTCCAGTCTTTGTGCACGTATTAGTCATCATCCTCAAAGGTGTGCAGGTAGGTTTTGAGGCTTAGGGTCCTGACGTATGTGAGGCTTGTGGATCGGTACAGGTCCAGGCCGGTCAAGATTTCCACGTCTCGGACTCGAGCCGTGTGGAGCTTCACGAGTTCTTCAACCCAATGGGACTCATCCTCAGCGCTCTGCGGGAAGACAGCACAGAGGAGGTGATTCACCAGCTCAGATACGGACAAACACTGAGGCCAGAGGAATTTACTGGAAGACCTGAAAACCTGTTTATATTTTATTAGAGGGAAACTATCAACAGACAACTGATAGCTGGAGCTCATTTAGTCTGACAAACATCTCAAAACTGCAGAATTACACAAAAATCAGCTCCATTGACGCAACTAAACATGATAGCAAACAGCAAAAATTTAGATAAATAATTACGAACGTGTTTTTGCATTCCAGAAATCAGCAATCATCTGCAGAATGAATGCAGATWAAATTAGAGAATTGCTGAGCAACAACAACTCATGTGTTCCATCAATGGAACAGTGCACTGATCTGACATCAAACACATGGTATACTGTAACAGCTGGAATAAATCACAACCAAAAACTTAACTTACTTTATAAAGATTTTTCCCCTCAACACTAGCGAGACAAAAGTTTATTAGAACAAAAGGCAAGTTCTTAATTATAGCAAGCATGGGGGTGTTTTTAAAAGTTTAAAGTTATAAAAGTTAGAAAAGATTAAAACAAGACAGTTGTTTAGATTTAATTTTCTTTTAATTTACAGGAAGTGATTGGATAGAAGGCAAGTTTAGGCTTTTCAGCACAAAACGTCCAATCTGCCAATAAAATCTGAATGACTTTTTGTGATAACAGACACATTTTCAAGAAATAAAAAAGCAGTCCACTGATTCTGCTCAAACGCCTTGAGGAGTGAAAACAATAACCTTTTTTTTTATAAGAGAGTTTAACTTTTCACAAAGTCTCAAAAGTTATTCAAAACCTACATTCTCGATATTCATTCCCGCAATAAATCACATTATTTAAATAAGGCATCAGTGAAACAYGGAAAACACAGACATACCTAGATTTGAAGGGTTTGAGGTCAGTCCTGCACTTTGTTTACTCTGACCCCTTAAACATTTTTTAACTTTACTTTAAAAACCTCATGTTGCTAAATCACTCAGAAATAAAAAGACTAATTGTCATACAGCGGGTAAAATAAATATTGAACACGTCATCATTTTTCTCAGTAAATATATTACTAGAGGTGCTAATG